AAATCATATTATATATTAAACAAACCAGGACTAAAGGGTGCGGCCACGTTTGCTCGGCTGGAGGGCCTTTAGTCCCGGTTGATAACACCAACCGGGACTAAAGGTCCCTCTTTAGTCCCGACTCGATGACCCGAGATTGAAGGTTTCACCTTTAATTCCGGGATCGTTGTCCCGGCGTGGTAACCAGGACTAAAGACCGTTACCGCCCGGGACAACAAGACCATCCTGTAGTAGTGAAATTTGTGCGTGTACAAAGATTGAAACACTCAATCCTTTTCAAATTTTGTCTTTATGTGTTGTCCGGTTGTTTCGTACGTCCTAACATTCCATCGTTGGCAGCCCACGGAACAACCGAATGCCCAATATACACTTCCAGAAGAAAACGCCGGTTGTGTCAAAGACTTTTGGATGGACAGGTTTTTCTTAATGGTATATGAAGAAATTCAGTGAACCACAGGGACGGCCCGGTACGCTCGTGATGCTTTTTGAAACGTTCGGGTCAAATCACATGCAATTCATCCATGGGCTGTTTATTTAAATATTTTGATTATTATGACACGGCAGCAGATTTTTTTTTTGACAACCACTACCACAAAGATTAACACGGAGCACTTAACTTACTAGGAAAGGTCCTATACGACCCGGTATACGGGTCCGTTGTCAATATGATTGATGAGTTTAAGCTTTAAAAACTTGGGCAAGTAACCTTGAGGGTTACATACAATTAGCATGGCACAGCACCATCGAAATGAGACAATCAGGGAGAAAGTAAATTAAACTCCATTTGCGAAATAAAAGGCGCATAAATGCATATGGGATGGCGCACGATTGGTTCCTGCTCTCGAGGGAGATCGATCATCGACGCACGTACAGACGCAAGCATATATAGAGGTTGGTTGGATCATTCAAGTTAGCATTTTCTGTTTTCAGGACTTGCTGATGCTCCAATGGAGTACGACAGTGGAAACGGACAGTGTCAGCAGTCAGTGTGTCCCTTGTGTGGCGTTTCTTTCACTCTCTGTTGGATTCATGTCCCCAGGCCCCAGCTAGTATCTCTTGTACGACTCTTAATATAGTGCGCAAGAAACAAACAACTGTGACAAAAGTGCTTAATTCTACGTCTCTTAATATGTCTTCTAGATGGTCATTAGTTGAGAATAAGCTAGAGGAATGGCATAGTCTAGTCAGGAGAGTTGCATTTATTAACTTAAATGAGGATAGAGACATTTTCATCTGGAATCTAAATAAAAACCGAAACTATCGAACATTTGTTTGGTATTCAACCACCACGAAATACCAATCATCTTTTTAGTAGTCGGTCAAAATTGGATGATCGTCAACATAATCATCTTTTATTGTCTAGGACAGCAGCTTATTGCTGGGCAATAATTTGGATCACAAGAAATTCGTCATGGTTTTTGGATAAATGTCAATCAAAAATCTTTTTGCCCGTTCTTTTCAGGGACGTATCGGCTCCGTTTTTGGGCTTCATTAAAGTGCTCAGTTGAAGACAAAGAACGTATACACGAGGCCTATATGCTACTAGAGGCTCTGTTTGGAGCCGCTTTTCCCCGCTTCACTGTGGAGAAAAGCATGCGGACACCCCCAAACGGCGTGATTCTAGCGCAACTTTCTTTCCCCGTGATTCCCCGATTGCACTATTTCAACGTTGAAGCTGAATCGGTTCGCAAGGAGCTGTGGAAGGAATCTCCTTCGATTCTTTAACCTCTTCCTACCTCGCCTCGCGGACGTTGCCCCAACCCTACACCTCACCATTGCCCCCCGATGCCCGCCTCACCGTGCTTAGCGGCGAGCGCCCGCCCGCCCCCACTCTCGTCCTCATCCTCGATGTCCTCGCACCGGTGGCTGTCCCCTCCCAAGCCACCACCGAGATCCCTTCCTCGCACCAGCAGCCTTCTTCGCCGCCCTCGTTGCCTGCCTCGCCGTTCTTAGCGGCGAGCGCCCACCCGCTCCCACTCGGGTCCTCATAGTTGACGTCCTCGCAGTGGTGGTGGTCCCCTCCCTGCACCACCGCGGAGATCCCCTTCCTTCCTCCTCATTGTCAACGTCCTTGCACCGATGGCCATCCTCTCCCTGCACCACCGTCGAGATCCCCTTCCTTCTTATCGTTGACATCCTTACAACGGCGGCCATCCCCTCCCCGCGCTGTGGCTGTCCCCACTCGAACAAACACTCGAGGCTTGCGAGAGGAGAAGACGAAACTCAAGCAATGTGTTTCACATGGTGGAAGATGAAGCTGTGGTCGCAGGCCACAGATCCCCAAATAAACTCTGTCATTCTTGCCAATGGATTACTAGGGACAACTTTAATTCAAAGCATGGCTGAAAAAATATGTCCCAAACAGGGCTAGAATCAAAAGCCAGTTCTCCGCATCTAATGGATGATCTTTCAGCTATCGTCTTGAACTTTAACTTTGAACCTGTAATGAGTCTATTTCTAGTGTGTATATTTGTTTTAAATGTGTACTCTTGCTTCTTCCATGACAGAAGTTGAAGCGGATTTTTCTGTTATCTAAAAAAATTATCTTACCGCCTGACGTTTTTTTATATTAGTTATTGCAAGGTCTACGTGCCGCGCGTAAAGAGCTTCAGAAACGTTCAGTGTAGGTTTCAGCTATATACGGCATTATATGGCGTGCGAGATGACATGCAGCTCCATTCTGAATTTGCACAGCTCACTATTCCGTTCATTGCCGATCGCGATTCTGCAACAGGTTATTAGAACTCAGAAGCAACGAACCCCTGAAGTCCGCGCTGTCCTAAACAAATCAGCTGGTAACGAAAAAGCACTCGTAAGCGATTGATTGTCTTGCCAGTTGCCACGCACTTGCCAGGTTATTTATCTCGACATCGATGACACCACGCACTACGACGTGAAAACAACGCCTAATTTACCACGCGACCCCGTTCCGTCCGATTAGTTATGTTATGTGGATTTGACTTTGTGACATGGACATCTTGAGTTGTCCGTTTTGAATTTGCCAGGTTTTAAACGATAGATGGTAAGATATGTCATATGTCCAGGTAGAACCGGCACCTGGTGTTGTTTAATTTAAATCAAATTTGATTTAACTCTTTGTTTTTGGACCCGGGCCGACCCGGCCAAGTGCTAATTCAAATCAAATTCGTGGAGACATTGTGTTGTTTGAAGATAAGTATCATCCAGGCTTGCACGCATTGTTTGGATACGTATCAAATCAAAATCGAAGTCAAATTGGAATCGAAACTTTATTCTTCCTGCTACTATCATCCAGGGCTTGCACGCATTATTTGGCTTAACTTACGTGTTGAGCATTTCGAAGAAGGCCAAGAAATTCAAAATTCAAAGGAAAGCAAGTTTGTATTCAAAATGCAAATGTTATAAGCCCAGGTGCATCATCAAATTTATTTGAAAGTTGACCATAAACGATGGGGGCCATGGATGATACAAGAAACCGCTCATAACTTGCGACTATTAGCAAATCACGTGTTGAATTAATGCAGGCACTACACATGAAAACTATATTTTCAATGAATAGTTTCTACAAATTTATCCAATTATCTATATATCTTCTCTCTCCTATCTATCATTACTCTTCCTATCTTTATCCAATGTAGACATGGTTTTTTTATAAGAAACCATTTTCTTCTCTCCTCTTTAGTTGCAATGTCAAATCATTGTTTTGCTTACCCTAATTAATGACATGGAAACTACCCATCGGGACTGCCCTAAGCTCATGACAATTGTAGGTTGATTGAGGGCGCGTTTGATAGCACTTCCGAAACCACTCCGGGAACAACTTCACCCCGTTGAAGTGGGGTATCAACTCTGGGCTTGGAGTTCCATGTTTGTGTGGACTGGAGCCAGATGTGGGAGGGGAACTGAAAACAAGATTTCCCCAGCTCCCTCTTGCCCTCGTGGTTCCATGAGTCTGAGGAGGGCGGCTTGAGGATGATGGGTAGTGACGGGGAGGAGGGGTGTGGCCAACCAACGCGGGAAGAGGAGCATAGCTCGCGGGCACCAGCGTTGAGGAGGAGGAGGGAGGTGCCACGTCCTCCATGTAGAGGAGCGACGACTGAGGGACACAGGAAGGAGGGGTGGCGCGGGGACAAGGGTGGTGGAGGAAGCCCAATGCGAGGATGGGGCGGTGGCATAAGCGAGCATGAGAGATATGGGCAAAGGTGTGCGAGAGAGACGGGAGAGAGGAATAAAGGGTGGAGAAAAAAGAAAAAAAATAGCCCAATGATAGGTGGGTCCATAAGTCAAGTGGGTCTATAAGTAAAAAAAATGATGAGCTATTTTGTCAAACATATCTCTAATAAGTGAAGCTAGAATCAAATGAAGCTAACCCACCAAAGAAGCGGGAGTCAGAACCATTTTAGGGTCTGTTTCTTTCCTCCCACTCTAAATTTTCCGTAGAAGATAATTATATGAGAGAAGCGATTCTCTAAATGAAAATATTTCTCTATGATTACCTACGCTAAACTCTATGATGACATAAAATATTTCTCTATAGTTTCTACAATAAACTCTCTACAATGACTAAAATGATTCTCTACGATTCTCTATAATAAACTCTGTGCAATGACTCGGTGTATAGAGTAATCAAGAGAAGTTTTTTCTTCAACTTTCAGTCCCTAGTTTATTTAAGAGAAACAGTTCACAGAATCAGCGTAGAATTAAATTATTTTTTTTTCATAAAATAACTTTTTGATATATAGTAGCTATTGGGTTCAGCCTGTACCTCGCAAAACAGGCCCTGGACCGAGAGCTGCCCTGAATTGATGCGTTTCCCAAAATGGATGTTGCTGTAAAGCTTTGAAATCAGCTCCTTTTTTCCCATTAAAAAAAGCGCTCCTTTTCCGCGGTTGGCGGAGTAGTTGGGTCCCCATACTTCCACGACCGCCCTGCTCGCTTATAAATGCCGCCATTCAATCGCTGGCCAATTTCAGAAAGCAAAGCAAACAAAAACTCGGCGGAGCCATTGCGACGGCGGCGGAATGGCGACGAGCACTCGAGCCCTCTTTCTCTCCTGCTTCCACGGCGGCGGCGCCGAGGTGAGCCGCCACCTCGCGCTGCGGCCGCGGTACCCGTCCAATCCGCGGCGCCCTAGGTCGGCCGCGGTTGCCGGCGAAGGAAGTGAAGGCGGAGGAAGCGGCGGTGACCTGGAGGCCGCGAAGGGGACGGCGGAGAGGGACGAGGAGGAGAAAGTGTCGGTGTTTGCGGTGACGGGAATGACGTGTGCCGCCTGCGCGGGGTCGGTGGAGAAGGCCGTGAAGCGGCTCCCGGGCATCCATGACGCCGCCGTCGACGTGCTTGGAGGCCGTGCGCAGGTCGTCTTCTACCCAGCCTTCGTCTCGGTGAGTATCGCTCCTCTGCTTCATTTTGCGGTGTTGCGCGGGTTACTTTTTTTTTCTTATCGATATGAGATGTTTCCAGATGATCAGATCAATCGGTTCCGTTAATTCCTTGAGATATGTTCTTTTTATTCATATATATATATATATATATATATATATATATATATATATATATATATATATATATATATATGTACTTATGTCCCAATTTTGAGTGAAAAATCCTCTCAAAAAAAATTGAACGAAAATTTTGGTCATGCAATTTTGATGTAGCACAGAGCTCTAAATTAGGACGCCTCATGCAGATCGCTCTGTGATTTTGATGTAACGCATGGCTCTATCTTTTTTTTTTCTGAAAGCAAAATGTCACGAGCTCTGTCTATCCATTAGCCCAGCAAAATGCAAATGGACAGAAACGAGTGAGAACAAAAACACTCTCAGCTTAAGATCACAACTTAAGGAAGCGTCCCAAACACAGATTAGTGGTGGCGGAGCATATATAGCACGCCTTCTTTGTTCTATGTTGCACGGCTCTATCTAGTCTTGTAATCTGGAAATACATACAACAAGTCTGGCATGGAAATACATATCTAGAAATGTTTAAAATTTCTAATATTAATTAAAAAAGACGACCTCTAGGAAAAACCTCTCCTGAGACATATTTCATTAAGAAGAAATCTCAACCATAAGGTGAAGAAAAGATCACGAACTATGGCTATAAAATAGAATGTTTTTTTTTCTCTCAACAAAGTGGAGTTGAACTCTGGACATATAGGTCACACGACATCTCTCATACCGCGCTGTGCTATGCGCACGTTCTCGATCTCTAAGAGTAGGTATAATAATATACATCTTATAACCAAACCACATCAGCAAATATCTAGGTGGATGATAGAGGAAGTAGAAGGGAACTTGACGCAACATGCAGCGCCAAGCACTAGCAAGGAAAGCACGGTTCCCAAGCCTGCCATCACATACAACAGTACACTGTTCTTGCCTTTTGAGCCGATAAAAAAGAGAAGATAGGAAAGTATGTGGGTCCCATGTAATAAAAAAATGTATTTAGAATATGAGAATAGACTGATTGTTGTATGATTTGTCTATTGTACGACTAGGCTTGGCTTATAGCCAAGCTCGTTAAACTTGCTCTTAATAGTAATGAACTGTATGCAGAAACATGGAGAGTCAGGCTTAAACTTTTATGCACTTAGGTGCGAATTTTTCAGCAAAATGTTTAGTGGTACAGTTTAGATATGACACCGATCGAGGCACATAGCCATAGATTGGACGCTTCATCCAGTTAGTTTGCTATATTATTTTTGATGTAACACAGAGCTGTGGATTGGCATGTGTCATCTAGTTACTCCACAATTTTGATTGAATGTAGAGCTGTAGACTGGCACACTTCATACAGTTAGTTCCCTATTTAATTTTAACATAATGAGTGCGTGTTTTAAGGAAAGAATTCCAGCAAATACTGCTATGTTTAGCATTACTAGATGAAGATTTTGTGTAAGGGAAGCTCTACCAAACATGCTTTTGTCAAGTTATTTCTGATTTTCATCCTTTTTACCCCAGTTATTCACACATAACTGAATACTGATACACATCGTATTCTTTCTTTTGTGAAGTATATCTGTTTTCTGCCCTGCTTTTTGTTACATATCACAGTCTTTTCCTTTTGTTAAGCTATATCTCTTAATCTGTTCAGTTGGTGTTCCTTTTGACCGTGTTCCCAAATGATTATTAGGTTGCTCAGGATGAAATAAATTGTCCTATTCAAGAACAATGTCACTCACGTCCCCATAATTACTTTCTTTCATCAGTGGCGCATTTGGGGATGCAAAGTTGCAATCCTGTCCTCCATTATTGAAAAAGAACTGTTTCTAAAAGCAAGATATAGCCCTTTTCACAAGTATATGTTGATATTTATAAAAGCAAAATGGATGAAGTCGTTTTCATGTGGTGTACATGGACTGTTCTTGTTGAATGATGAGGGATGCATGGTTCATCTGGTAGGACTAGGAAAAAGTTCCATCTCATATATATTTCAACCTAGTGGTTACTTGCTTGCATGTCATCTTGTTGGATGCCTATATGATTTTATTGGTGCCAATCCATCTTACCTAAACCTCAATCAGTAAATACAATGTACTAAATTTCATTTATTGAAAACTGTAGCAAATGCGATACTGAGATACTACTACTATTTAAGAAATCTTTTTATTTGTCTATTTGGCTGAGCTGCTGCCATGAACAGGTGGCAGGTCCACCCATGAATATTATTTCTTAGTTTGCATATTTCCTTTTACATATACTCAAGAAAATGTTTATATGTGCACTTTATCATTTACATTATTCAACACCTAAGACTACTACGGTTTCCAGATTAGGAAAAGAAAACAGTGGTTTCAGTTGTTCAGAACTAATCATGGCAATTATATTGGGGTTGCTTGGATTTTTGTTAACAATGTAGAATCTAGCAACCTACCTTGTCTATGTAAGTGAGGATGAAACTAACATAAAGAAAATCGATTCTGTTAAGATCAATATGACTTCTGTCAATAACTACTACTACCTATTTTTTTTCACAAAACCAGCTTAAATCATATTAACTAAATCCCTTCTTACTTAGGATGATACAAATGAAGTGATCAACATAAGTCCATTTACACCGAAACCTTCTCCAACTTTTGAAACCGAGTACAATACCCTCCCTGACCATTTCAAAGTGGTTTCTGATCATATGATGTGGTTTTGATGACATGGCAGTGGGAGCCCACATGTCAAGTGGTCTCGCTCTTTCTCTCATATAAAAAATTATAACTTTTTCGTATAAAATCGACGAAGACAAACTTTATATCAAATTTGTAGAGCTTGACGTGATCTACAACTTTAGAGTTGATAGCTTTTCTATTTAAGATCATTTAGATGCCCAACTATTCATTTATATTATCGGATTTTGGAATTCAAAATTTTGAACCAATCTCGAATGTTTACTGGTATACACCAAAGATTAGATATCAACACAATCTACATCTTTGTAGTTGACAACTTTTTTATTTGACATCGTTTAAATATGCAAACATTCATTTTAAGTTATTAGATTTTGAAAAAAAATATGGCAGTTAAAAAACGATGACATGTGGGGCCGACATGCCCCACATCTAGTCCTGCTTTGAAATGGTCAAAGGGGGTATTTTGCTCGATTTTGAAAGTAGGAGGATGTATGATTCCTGGTATTTGAGTTGACGGGAGTTTTTTAAACTCAGCAACAAGTTCACGGTGTTGACTGAAGCATCTATTATATCTGTTTCTTTGGTGCCATCATAAAACTTCTTTTTTTTGAAAACATATCCCTGATATAATAGATCTGAATTGCATATGCTGGCCAATAGTTAATACAATAATTTACAGTAAAAATTAAAGGCTATTTTTTTTTTTGCGAATCAAGGGCTGAAATTCATTTGAAACTATAGATACTTCAGTAGTTTTACACCATACTTTAACAATGTCCGTAGTTGTGTGCCCGTGCTGTTGGATCTTGGCTTCATAATAATATTTAAAACTTGTGTTCATATATGGCTCTTAACAGGAGGAGAAAATTAGGGAAGCAATCGAGGATGTTGGTTTTGAAGCTAAGCTGATTAACGAGGAGGTCAGGGAAAAGAACATTCTAGTATGCAGGTTACATATAAAAGGAATGACCTGCACGTCCTGCACTGGCACAGTAGAATCTGCCTTGCAAGCTTTTCCTGGTGTTCAAAGAGCTTCAGTTGCGTTGGCTACTGAAGAGGCAGAGATCCATTATGATCGCAGGATTGTTGCTGCCAGCCAACTTATCCATGCAGTGGAAGAAATTGGCTTTGAATCAATACTAATCACTACAGGAGAAGATCGGAGCAGGATAGACCTCAAACTAGATGGCGTTCTGAGCGAGAAGCTAACAATGATACTGAAAAGCTCTATCCAAGCTCTTCCTGGTGTGGAAGACGTAAAGGTTGACACTGAACTCCACAAGATCACCGTCTCGTACAAGCCTGACCAGACAGGTCCCAGGGACCTCATTGAAGTCATCGAGTCAGCCACTTCTGGTGACGTTACTGCATCAATATATGCCGAAGCAGAAGGAAGGGAGCATCACAGGTATGTGGAAATCAAGCGATACAGGCAGTCTTTCTTGTGGAGCTTAATATTCACTATTCCGGTGTTTCTCACTTCCATGGTGTTCATGTACATCCCTGTGCTGAAGGATGGGCTCGAAAAAAAGGTTGTCAACATGATGAGCATTGGTGAACTATTGCGGTGGATTTTATCGACACCAGTGCAATTTGTAATTGGCCGCAAGTTTTATACTGGTGCTTACAAGGCAATATGCCATGGCTCATCAAACATGGATGTCCTTATTGCCCTAGGGACAAACACGGCTTACTTCTACTCAGTTTACTCAGTTCTTCGAGCAGCTACCTCTGAGAATTACATGTCAACTGATTTTTTTGAGACTAGTTCTATGCTCATATCTTTTATCCTTCTTGGAAAGTACCTTGAGATCTTGGCAAAAGGAAAAACCTCCGAGGCTATTGCCAAGCTGATGGATCTTGCACCGGAAACTGCAACACTGTTAATGTATGACAATGAAGGAAATGTAGTAGGAGAGAAGGAGATTGACAGCAGGCTAATTCAGAAAAATGATGTGATCAAAGTAGTCCCGGGTGGAAAAGTTGCTTCTGATGGATTTGTTATTTGGGGCCAGAGCCATGTGAATGAAAGCATGATTACTGGAGAATCACGGCCAGTAGCGAAGAGGAAGGGTGACACTGTAATTGGAGGGACAGTGAATGAGAATGGTGTGCTCCATGTCCGGGCAACATTTGTCGGATTAGAGACTGCACTGGCACAGATCGTAAGGCTAGTTGAGTCAGCACAAATGGCAAAAGCTCCTGTCCAGAAGTTCGCTGATCAGATATCTAGAGTCTTTGTCCCACTGGTAAGCTCAGTTACATTTTTGTAATAAATACAATGGGGTAAACTTGTCAATGCTGATCAATCTTCTCCATGTTTGCAGGTTATTGTTCTATCTTTGCTTACTTGGCTTGTGTGGTTCTTAGCTGGGAGATTCCATGGTTACCCTTACTCATGGATACCATCTTCCATGGATAGCTTTCAGCTTGCTCTTCAGTTTGGAATATCAGTTATGGTGATTGCCTGTCCTTGTGCCTTAGGGCTGGCAACTCCAACTGCTGTTATGGTTGCAACTGGAGTTGGTGCCTCACAAGGCGTTCTGATCAAAGGCGGGCAAGCTCTTGAGAGTGCACAAAAGGTATGGAAACTTTTCATGATAATGTGTATGCACTTGCTTAAAGCAGCGCTTTCGAATTGGCGATAAACTGACAACACTACTTACACTGACATTTTACAGGTAGACTGCATCGTCTTTGATAAGACAGGAACGCTGACTGTTGGGAAACCAGTCGTTGTCAACACCAGGCTTTTCAAAAACATGGTCTTGCGTGAGTTCTTTGACTATGTTGCAGCAGCAGAGGTATGCTTTTCGACTCTATTTTTGTTGTTGTCATTTTGGGTGAAACCAGATTGTGTTTCGAAGGGACATTTTTCTTTCAAATTTCATGATTCTTGTTGGTCTCATTCAGGACAACAGTGAGCACCCTCTGGCAAAGGCAATAGTGGAGCATGCAAAGAAGTTCCACTCAGAAGAAAACCACATCTGGCCGGAAGCAAGAGATTTCATTTCGGTTCCCGGACATGGTGTCAAGGCCAAAGTTTTTGATAAGAGTGTCATTGTCGGGAACAAGAGTTTCATGTTGTCATTAAGCATTGATATCCCCATGGAAGCTTCAGAGATTCTCATAGAAGAAGAGGAAAATGCACATACAGGCATTATTGTGGCTATGGATCAAGAAGTTGTGGGCATAATTTCTGTATCTGACCCGATAAAACCAAATGCCCATGAAGTTATATCTTACCTCAAGTCCATGAATGTGGAGAGCATAATGGTGACTGGGGACAACTGGGGGACTGCTAACGCCATCGGCAAAGAGGTTGGCATTGAAAAGATTATCGCCGAAGCAAAACCTGACCAGAAAGCTGAAAAGGTGAAGGAACTTCAGGTAAGCTATATACACTGTGTTTTCTTCCGTTACTTCTGTTGCTTTCCTGTTACAGCGATCTAGTGTTTATTTACCATTGTCGGATCTTAATTCTTGCAGCTGTCAGGAAAAACTGTGGCGATGGTTGGTGACGGAATAAATGACTCCCCAGCACTCGTTTCAGCTAATGTAGGTCTGGCCATTGGCGCTGGAACAGATGTCGCCATTGAAGCAGCCGACATCGTCCTCATGAAGAGCAACTTGGAGGATGTGATCACTGCTATCGATCTCTCTAGGAAAACCTTTTTCCGCATACGGATGAATTACGTGTGGGCGCTCGGCTACAACATCATCGGCATACCAATTGCCGCAGGAGTGCTCTTCCCATCGACCCGATTTCGCTTGCCACCATGGGTTGCCGGTGCCGCGATGGCGGCTTCATCCGTCAGTGTCGTCTGTTGGTCCCTTCTGTTGAGGTACTACAAGAGTCCAAAGAAGTTTGACAACTGATGACACCGACCAGAGCAGCATTAGCGTAATAATGTAAGAAAGTACTGTAAGATATTAATGGGTATTGTACTTGGTGAACGACAGGTGATCCTGGAGTTGACAAGAAATTGCGTGAAATAAACTGTACATATGCATTACTTTGTATATATCTATATTCACATGGCAAAACTCTGGATTTTGTGGACATTATTGGCATAGTTGCTTTGTAGTAATATATATATTTCTCTCTATTCACTTTTGCACTAAGCCACTAACTTGTTTGAACTGTCAAAAGATGTATGAATCTGTTGGGCGATCCCATGATCTACGTATCCTTTCTAAATAAAGACATGATCTATATACACATGAACGTGATGAATTGATGATAAAGACATGATCTCCAACTTGATATACGGACATATTCTGAAGAATGTCTAGTTGTCTACGCCTCTACGGCGCCTGCTGAATGTGAACAACCTGGATCCTGGAAAGAGGGTCATGGGCACATGGACAGATGGACGTGGCAGTTAATGGGATCAGACTCGACGATTGAAAGCGGGAGAGCTGGTGCTTGGTGATGCACTGATGCTGAAACTAGAGGGGGATGTTTGTTCACGCTTGTTTTCTTTCCTCTGGTGGGCGATATTAGTTGCCTACCCAACCTGCTCACTTCTTTTAGTGACATGATAGATACAGTTACAACTGAAAGACATCCTGACGAGGCGAGGCGATGATCTTATGTGGCGCCCGACGCCAGCAGAGAAGAATTCGGTTCTGTTAGCTTTATGCCTCGTGGTTAAGTGCTCTAGTTTTGTCACGGAACAACTATTTGGGGGTGGAATCTGATTCGTGGTGCGAGAGCGAGTGTTTCCAGGTGACTCTTATAGCTCAAATAGAGCGTGCTTCCTCTATCCAAAAATATAGTATACAGAAGTATTAAAAATAAACCAAATACAAAAGATTTATAAAACATAAGAACAATTTTGTCGCACAAATTTAGTAGGTAATGTAGTGTTATTAGCCATTTAATGATAAATGTTTTATTGATCATGCAGATGCTATAACGACTATACATGCATGAATTAAATTGATTAGAAAATAAAGTAAAGGTACTGTTGGAGGTTTTTGGCTCTGGCAATGAAGATCAGCATATTACACACAAGACACGAGTTTATACTTGTTCAGGTACTCGGTACCCTACATGATCTAGTTTGGAACAAATCTCTTATCTCGTGTGCCAGAGATTACAAGGTGCGTTGATTGCTAATTGCATATGCAATGTAGCCTACGATATGTTGAGGTACTGATCAGAAGCTCCCTACCTCGCCTTATATAGCCCGAGGGTAGGGTAACATAGATCCTGGTTGGTTTACATATATGTTTTCTAGTTGATTACAAGAAAATCTAAGCAGAATAACTACCATATCTTGTAGAAGTCGTGGTCCAAGCTTTATACGATAGGTTACTTGCTCACTATGTCTGATGACGCGCCCTGGTTCGGGTGGACCTCTTCTTCTCCAGTTTGGCCCACCCTGGTGGTATTGGGCTGGTATTCGAGCAGTGAGGTACCCTAGGTTCATATCACTAACAGGTACATACGTCTTTTATGTTTCTCTTAATATGTCTTAAAATCTCTAAAATACACTATGAAAATCATTGAGTGTTGGATAGTGGATGTAGTCGACACATGACCGGCAATGCTAGCATGTTCACTAGCACGAATGATGGATGTTAGAGATCACGACAAGGTCACATCTGAGGATAACTTCAAAGGTAAATTATGTGGTCTTGGACTCTTGGTAACATAGCTATATCAAATTATTTTCTCTTGGTTGGTTTTGGCAACACTGAATTGTGCATATTTGAACGAGTCAACTCAAGAAGAAAGTGAAGAAGGGGATGCTTGTTAGAGTAAAATAACTAGTGTTTGCGAACTGAGCCTAGCTCAATTGCTTAGGTTCCTTGTGGTGAAACCTGTCCACCCAGGTTCAAGTCCTCGATTGGCACGGGTGCTCGCATTTTCCTAGATTTAATCCAGGATTTAAAGGCATTGTGCTTTCAGTGGTAGGCGACATTCTTGTCGACAGCGAGACGTCTGTGGTGACTTCGTCAATCTCGAGATGTGCCGGCATAATCTTTGGAGGTGCTCATAGGGATAGGGTTTGCATACGTGTGTTCATAAAGGGTGAGTGTGTGTGTGCTAGTGGTGTTGAGCCCTTTCTACCTCTTCTTGAGGATTAGCTGTGTTTTACTTGGTTGCGTCGGTTCGTTGCCCATGTCTTTGGGGACCAAATTTTGTTCATTTCAAATGATCTTGTTTTGGCTTTTCATTGGCTTTTGGTCATTTGGGTGAGTTCTCTATCTCTTCTTCTTTTTCTTCTTCTTTCGCTTGGCTGTTGCGTGTTGGTGTTGACATTGCACTCATCAAGGAGGAGATTGCGAACACATGATCAATATGTATTCATATGGTTTGGTTTGTGATGAGTGATTGTCAATGTGAGTAGCACTTTGGTTTGAGTTGTTGAACTAACCAAGACGTGAGTTTGGGTTGTGCAACATGTTTCTTGGCTTCAGGTGTGCAGGTGTGGAGCTCGGAGACGACAAAGGTGAAGGTCAAGCGGGTTCGTGCTGATGGACTAAGAGTGGTGAAGGATGGATGCCGAGGCTTAGACTGAGGGACTGGAGAAGCCAGGTAACTGACTGTGGGTGGCTGACACCTAGGGTCATCGACAAGTGCAAGAGTACATGAGGAGTGGACCGTGTTTGTAACACCCTCGGTGTTACCACTTAAACAACTTGCTAAACTATGTCATGAGCATCATGTTTTTGTGATAATGCATATGATAAAGTGTGTAGATCAATTTTCGTAACTCAAAAATGATCAATAAAAATGCTAAACGAAAGTTGATTCGATAGTTCATGCATATCAAGTAGGGTTTGAAACTAATTTTTATTGAACAAAAATACTATAGAATATGTATGTGACACTTAAATAAAGTTTGAAGTGCAAACTTTATAGATGACAATGAAATACTTGCTGTAGAAAAATAATGTTACTAGCTGGTATTTCTAATAGTCTAGAAACGGAACATGAAAACAAATCCAGCTCAAAAACTTAGAAATTTTCAAGTGCATAATGACTAGACATTGCTATATTTAGCAATTTATTATGAGAGATTGGGTTAAAGGGTGGTGTAGTGTTATAGCTCGATTTGGTAGTCTCATATGCCATCTTGAGCATGGTGAAGCTGGTTTGGCTCCTAGAGCAACCGTTTGGTCGTGTTGAGCGCTTTAAAATTCGTGCGCGTCACATGTCTCGGGTTGGTTGGCCGCGTGGCCACGATCACCACGCTCGGGCGTTCGGCGTCACCGCGTTGGCCGCGCGCGGCCGACCGTGGCTACCTCTGGCCTGGCTATGGTTCGGTTGCCGCTGGCCCTACCGTGCCATGATGAGGCCACTGCCGGCGCTATCACCTCGATGTCGCGTCCGCCACTGCTGCCTCGTCGCGCTGTCGACCCACCTCACGCCGCGACGCTGCCGCTACCATCGCGTCCACGCCTGTCCGCTGCATCTCTACGCTGTTGTCGGCCCAGTGCGTGTCGCCTCTGCCGCGCGCACATGGTCGGTCTCGCCGTCGCCTTGTCATTAATGACACTGCGGCCGTACGGGCCATGCTGGTCGGGCGCGCACGCGCCTGTCAGTTAGCGCTGGCGCGTGGGTCTCCCAATCTCACCGCTCGTGTCTCGCCAAGGCGAGGACGAGCCGAGCCCACTTGTCGCGCCCCATCTCTCTTTCTCTCTTTCTTCCTCTACTTTCCACCGCGGTCGGGTCACGATCACGGCGAGTCAGAGAGCGAGCACCTCTCATCAATTTCTCATGCCCGTGTCTCCACCTTTACGTCCTCTTGACGACCGCCCCACCCCGCCTTGATTACGGCCATGCCAAGCTCCAATTTTGGAGCTTTGCTCCCACCGCCGCGCCATTAAGGCCTAGCCCACCTCATCGTGGCCAGCTCCAACCTCGCCATCTCGCGTCGAATTGACCGCACCACTAGCCTCGCCTAGAACCCCTCTTTATCGTGCACATGCTAGTCATAGCCCTAGTGCCGCCTCCACGCCACTGTCATGGCCGTGTCACTGTGGTTCACCATCGAGCTCGCCGCGCGCACGTGACCAAACTTGCTCGGGGTGTCTCTGGCCAAGACACCGCCACGGGTAGGATCGTGGTGCGTCACTAATGCTTACCCATCATCTCTATTATCTGTTGTACACTGTGGCTCACCAGAATATGGTTGCTGCCGCTGCAGGTCGCCATTGCCGGGGAGAGCCCACTCTGTTTCACCCTCGTTCGTGCAACCACCGCCTATAGTTGCGCGTAGGCCCATAGATGAGCATCGGTCCCCTAGCTAGGTCTGCAAGGGTCTCGGGTGGTCGGCGTACCGCCTAGTGCCACCACCCACCGCACTAGCAAGCGCGGGGCATCTTGGGGACCTCTCCAGTGCGAAGGTGAAAAGATACGAGGGCTCCGTTGCAAAGCCAATGTCTATAGAAATAGTACGTGTAGTGTTTATGCTATTGTCTGATAACACGAGGGCATTTTTGCAAGAGTGCCAGCGCGCACGGGCTCCCCGCCGCGGGCCGCCTCCGCTTGTGGGCCGCGTTGGGCCGAAATCGGTTTATCTTTTTTCGTGGAAAATAGAAATAACTTTTTATTTTAATTTTGAGTTGAACTTTGGTAATTAATATAAAATAATGTAGATATCCAAAAAAATATGAAATAAATTTTGTTAGGTTTCTAAAATTGTGCTCTATCTGTTAGTATATTTAGTTCATATATGTGCTGGTTGATACCAGGAGTTATTAAATCATTTGAGAGTGCTCAATATTATTAAGTTAATTATTGTAGGAATTTTTGTGGTAGATTGGTAATAGAAAAAACCTTGAAATTTTTATAGTAGCTCCATTGTATTATTATGTGCTCACTATAATTTTTGTAGCCCTAAAATAGACTCTTTAATATG